CATTCTCTCTAGAAATCAATGGAAAAAATATCCTCAGTGCTTGGGTGAGGATTAAAAAAAAAAAAAAGTCCAATCCTGTTTGGAACCAGATGCCCACTAGACTTTGTATTCACTGTGTTTTTAGAATTATATTTAAATCTTTTTCTCCCCCCGCATTAATCCTCTATTTCTGTGAAACCTATTTCTGCATGCTCACTCTCCCATGCAATCATTAGATTTAAATAATCAATTTTCCCCAAAGTTGCCCTAACATTTGATGAAGATGGAATTAAATATATAAATTAATTGAAGGAAATGGATGTCCTCCACAACAGTGACCTTCCCATCTCTCCTATCCCAGTATAAAGTATAGCTCTTTGTTTATTAGTCTTCTTTCATGTACTTCAGTATCAATAATTTTCCTCAAACAGGTCCCATATATCTTTTATACTTATTCCTCAACATTTTATATTTTTGGTTAATTTTCTGAAAGGGATCTTATTATCCATGATCTTTTATAACTAATTATAGTCCTTACAAAAGTAAGCTAAATATTTTTGTGTTAATTTTGTAGCTGCCAAACTTTTATTAGCTCTAATGAGTTTCCATGGATTCCCTCTGGTTTTCCCAGGTAGCTATTCATATTACCTACAAATAATAATTTGGTCTCCTTTATAATATTTGTATCTTTTTTGCCTGCTTGCAGAAAAATATTAAATAATAATGGTACTACCAACTTTAAGGAAAATAATTTAGTACTTCACCATTAAACAGGATTCTGGCTGTTGATTTGTAAAAGTTATTTTTTATAATGTTAAGAAAGTATACACCTATACTTATACTATTAAGAGTTTTTATCAGGAGTGGATATAGAATTTCATAAAATCCCATTTCATTAAGTATTTTATTCCTACTAATATATCATATGTCATATGTCATATTAGTAGGGAGATACAGTAATGGTTTTCTCAATATTGAATTATCCTTGTATATCCACATCCTATTTGGTAACTGGATTTTTAATATATAATTGCATTTTGTATATTTATTACTATTTTTTATGATTTTTACATCTACACTTATATAAGTTTAATTGTAATTTACTTTTGTGGTATCTTTGTCAGAACAGGATTATCCTAACTTTATAAAATGTACTACTTTTAAAATGAGAAATGAAGTTATAAAAATAAAGCCTAAACATGTATTAATAAGTCTCTAAATGCCTACCACTTTTGTTTGGCCAACTACTGACTATTTTTCAAATTTTATTTTTCAATTATAGTTGACATACAATATTATATTAGTTTCAGGTATACAATACAGTACCCACCACTTTTTATACATTTATTTTTTCTTCAGATTTTAGAGTTACGATTATAAAATCTTGAAGGTCACTTTTTCCACCCACCCTATATTTTACAGTATGGATATTATATACTACTATATATTATAGATATATTCCTGAAAAATTGCTTGTAAGATAAAAATGTATCTTTCAGCCCTAGCCAGCTTGGCTCAGTGGATAGCGTCTGCCTGAAGGGTCCCGTCAAGGGTTCGATTCCAGTCAAAGGCACATGCCCAGGTTATGGACTCCATCCCTCTATCTCTCTCTCTCCCTCTCCCTTCCTGTCTGAAATCAATAAAAATATATTTCTAAAAAAATTTTATCTTTCAAATGTTACTATCTCCAAAACTCCCTTTGTAAAATGAGAATATTTTCCAGGTATTAATGGCTTTTCTTTCTTCCTGGTATTCTCTTTCCCCAGATGTTTCTATTGCCCAATCCCTCACTTTATTTAAGTCTAACTAAAATACCACCTCTTCTGAGAAGCCTTCCCTGACCACCCTAATTAACATATCCTCTACCACCTCTCCATCTCTAGTCCTGATTTATTTTCACAGCCATTCTGAAGTATTTTATCCCTAATGCCTAGAAAATTACTTGACACAGGTAAGTGGTCAGTTAATATTTGTTGAAGAAAACGTTCCCCAAGAATAGTTTACCCCACTCTGGTGTAATACTACTTAATATGCTTGTGACCACCCTGTAAGGCTACCACATAAATCATTAGTCAAAAATACCTTGGTAAAATGACTATATTTATCAGATTCTCTCTTTCATAATTAGTTCTCTAAGCCAAGAACACCTGGGATTCCATGTAAAGGAAGAAAAATAATGAGTCTTGCTTATATTTATATGGAAATAAACTACTGTATTCTTTTCCATAGTGACGGTACCCAATCAGCACAAGGTAAATATATTCTGCCTATTGTTCTCGGCATCTCCCTTCATAGGGTTCAATACCAACAGAGAAAAACTATTAATACAAAGAGAAAGCTCTTGAAGAAGCAGCAATAAATGGTTTGGGTGATATGGATGGAAGTCCCCTAGGCCCCTGATCTCTGGTGAATCACACCTGAAAGTGATCCTACAGAAAGTAAATCTTCAAGGAAGAAGTAGACATTGATCACAAGAATAAAGTACGTTCTGTAGCTGTGGCTTCTCTTAATGGACTTTGAACCAGTTTTAGATTCCTATACGACAGGAGCATCTGAGTTACCAAGTCCATTGAGAACCAAGGAAAAGTAGTAAGCTTCGCTTTATCTCCTTCCCACTGAATTTGCACATCGCTATCTTGGAAGACTGACAGACACCAAGCAAGTCACCAGGCAAGCAAGAAAAAGAACCCAGATTGCAGAACACACAGCCTGATGCCCTAACTTGTTTCTCAGTCATGTCATTATACCACTATGCTGGTACCGAGTACCAATAACAGCAGTATCTTTCACAGACTATAGAGAAAACAGATTTTCTAAATACAGTAAACTCTCTATTTTCCCACCTCATGTCTGACCAAATATTTGTCCATCACTGTGACAGCATTATTGTATTTTAATTTAGCTCCTTCCCATTGGCGGTAAAAAAAAAGCCAGGCCCTGGAAATTCATGTATCTCTGGTACTATTATTTTTCTATTCCCATCTCTGATTCTTTAATGTCATCAATAACATGAAAATAACCCAAAACGCTAATAATGTAAAAAATTCTACATGTATAAAATTTCAAAACCTAAATTTTTCTGATTTACAAATTATCTAAAGTCTTAAATACACACACGCATATTTATAGGTTATGTATATATACATATATACATAGTAAATTAAAATATGATGTATCCTCACACTGAATTAGATATAAAAAACAAAAAACAAAGATGTCAACTAAAGGAGATACAAAATTCTAATTTAAGATGAATTTAATTTAGGCACAGTATATACCTATAGACTCTATAATACAAAACAATAAATTTTAAAGTCTCTCTCTCTCAACTAATACTACAGTATTCTCTCTTTCAATTTTTTCCTCCCAGTTCATTCCAACATATACATGTTCCAACAACTCAGGTGAGTCCAGCAGTACATTCCCTCAACCTTCTATTACCTAAATTATATAAAGACACATGATATGTACATGTACAATTTCAATCATACATTTCTACTCTCAAATACCTGTTTCTCATTAATTTCAAAACTAGTTCACGCACTGAAGTCTATGAGCAAAACAGTAACATAATACATTGGGTGCCTAACCTCTTGATTCTCTACTCCACTGCTGGAAAGCTCCAAAACAGAACCTCCTCCACTGTCAACCACAGCTGATGTCATTGTATATTCCCTGAGGAAGCTTGAAAACGCTATTAATCAGTGCAATTAAAGGTTCATGGATGATTGCCAGTGTTATAGGTTTGCATTATCATATCTTAAAAGTCAATAGAGGAGTGGAGTAGATGTCCAGCAATCCAATCTTCTAAAGATGATTAACCAGAGAGCCTAAAAAGAGGAAGAATTTGAAAAGTTATTAAAAATGTATAGGAAAGATATAAAGCACAACCTATTTTGCAATCTAATTTTTAACATTTGTATAAACTAAAAGGATATATGCTTATACAGCCCTGTGTCAAAAGAGGGCAGTAATGAGCATTCTACTTTTTAGCATTGCCAAGTTCACTGAAATTAAGTTCTTACCAAGCTACTGCACATTCATGACATTATGATATTTATATTCTAAGAGATAAAATGCTATAACTTTCTATCTTTATGAAGATGTTCTTTTATTCCTGAAATATTTTCATAGATATTTTAAAAATCTTTTATGCATTAAAAACATGAAATGTGCTGGACGGAGACAACTTCTAAAATTATTTGCCTATATGACAAATCAAAAGATTTATTGGTCTGTAAATATTTCACTGTTCTTCTTTGGCTCATTTAGTTTATTTATCTGAATAATTAGAATTGTCTTTTGCTATGGCAGCAATCTAATTTTGTGGTCACATTTTGAATACTCTACAAGAACTATAAAACATTATTTTGAATAGCTTATATTTCAAATAGAGTAGTTTGAAAATAAAGTAGTGAAATCACTTGGAATGCCTTAAACATTACTTTATTATTCTTTCCTCAATAATGTTTTTGCTATTGGTTCAATATGCAATATAGCAAATGGTTTCAAGTAAACATAATTCAGTTTTCCTCAGTAGGGATGAATTTCAATATGTACACCATCTAGATTTATGCATTAGATTATTCCTAAAAAGTTACACTTTATTTGATTTTGTAAATGTAAAATTTTTCAGAGAAATTACAGAGATTTATTCCTAATAGGATTTTTCATATAAAAATTAAAGAATGCAGAAAAACTAAGTATAAAGAAAAAATACATTTCTAATAAATCATTCCATTAATATTATATCCTCTATTAAGTTTAACTACTGGTACCATGGAAATGTGGTATAAACTATTTCCATAAACTCCTACAAGCAAAATAAATATCTGGGGAGGGGGGCAGAAATTTCACCTCATTACCTAAGACCATTCAGTACTATTAGTCCCCTTTTTTATCTTATCAACAGAAATGGAGAAAGTATTTGTATCTTAATAAAAAAATAAGAAAAATCCACAGCCCCACACACTGAAGCTCACCATTATCATATAAGGAAATGACTATTTTCAGTTTCTGTTTTCTAAACATCCTAATATATAAAAACCCAGGGTCCATCACATCCACAAAGACCAGAGGCTCGACCTAACACCCAGGCTGCCGCCCAGCAGGCTCTGGTGGGTGGGGACTTGTGGCAGCAGAGACCGGGAAGGGGGAGGCGGGGCCGGCACTCACACTCACTCACAACCGCACACACGCACAGACACACACAGCGCCCACCAGCTCACAGCCTTTTCTCCCTTTCTTTCCCTCCCTCCCAGCTCGTGCTCGGAGCCTCTCTCAGAATGAGGAAACAAAACAGACTGGGCCTGAAGAGGTCTGGATGGAAGGGAGGGTGGGCAGAGGGTGGAGCGGCCCCCACTGGCCCAGCCCCCTCCCAGCAGGGAAAGAGGAAGAGGGAGACAGGGAGGCCTGGAGGACTGCTAAGAAAAACAAAGAGAGACAGAGACTGGGCGAGATCAGGCTGGCAGGGGAGGGCAGTTGGGGGCGAGATCAGGCTGGCAGAGGAAGGCAGTTGGGGGCAAGATCAGGCCGGCAGGGGAGGGCAGTTAGGGGCAATCAGGCAGGCAGGCAGGTGAGCAGTTAGGAGCCAGCAGTCCCAGATTGTGAGAGGGATGTCTGACTGCCGGTTTAGGCCCGATCCCACAGTCGGACATCCCCCAAGGGGTCCCCAATTGGAGAGGGTGCAGGCTGGGCTGAGGGAACCCCCACCCCCACACGAATTTTGTGCACCGGGCCACTAGTATAGATAATAACATAAATAAATTTTACTTACAATTTGAATGTTAAGTAGTCTAAGCATCCTTCACTATTTTCACAACTTGGCAAGAGCTAAAACATAAACCAGCAGTTCTCTGGAACTAGTAGCGGGGGAAAAAGACAGTATTAATATAACTTTATTAAAAATATTGTTACCCAAAATAAGTGTAATTCAGACAGTATGTACTTATTACAAACCATCTCCAAAGCCTAATACACATTATATAATACATATAATAATAAATTCTTTCTAGGGTATTGAGAAATCAGAGGTTTTTATCAAACTTAAAATTGCAAGTCACCACTAAATAACAATTACTAAGTAAGGACAGATTCAACATACACAGCCTATGCCCCATATTAGGGCTTATATTTCAAGTAGCTACAGGATATAATCCCTGATCCCCAGGAATATAAAATGAGGTTTTTAAAAACTAACCCAAAAAACTACTGTAAAGCAATGTTGATGATATATTATTGCCTATTAAGTCACCTTCCTCCGGCTCTCTCACCTTCCAAATTTACATTCCAGACACATCCAAACATCCAAACCCTCCTCAAAAGCCCTCCTCCTTTCAAAGGCTAATCCACTGGCCTATGCCCTGGAGCTCAGTCCTTGCTCCATCAATTATTTCCTCTTCTTCCCTAACCTTATCTGTTTTAACACTGGGTCCTCTCCCTCAATGTCTAAACATTTACAAGACTCCCTCATCTTAAACATGGAGCAGTCCTCCTCTGCTGGAAAGCTCCAAAACAGAACCTCCTCCACTGTCAACCACAGCTGATGTCATTGTATATTCCCTGCGGAAGCTTGATCCTGCATACTCCTCCAGCTACTGCTTTGGGCCCTTTCTTGGATAATGTTCTAGAAGAAAAGTCTTCTATACTCTGTCTCCACTTCTAATTTCTCAGGTACTCCACCTTCTATGGAAGTTAGTCATCAATTACCACCAACTGAAAGTTTTACTAAATTCTGGTTGTCCAATCCAATGGACACATTTCTGTCTTCATAGGACGTAAGGGCTCTGAAGCATTGACACTGTTGCTCATACCCTCCTTGACACTCTATCCAGAATTTATTTCTCCCTCTCTAGCTCCTCCTTTTCAATTTCCTCTTACAGACTCACCCCTAATTTTCAAGGAACTTGGAGCAAGGCTACAATGGAAATCCATATATCGTATATGTAACTATTTTAAAAGTTATAAATCAAGCTAACAAGCTATTAAATTATTATTCTATCTTCCCATACATATTTTTATAAGAATCTAAAAGGCTAAGTTCTGATTTGAACTTCTCAGACTCCCTCAAGTTCTATGGGGGCATGGGAGAACCATAACCACTGCCCCCCCCCACACACACACACACACACACACACCTGGCCTGCAGCCTGTCTCTTTTTCTCTTCCCAACTTTGGCTCCACTCCATACTACAAGAAGCCACATATACATACAATTAGCATCCCAACCTCTGGCCACATGCCTGCAAACTGCTACCCTTTGGCCATCCCTTAGGCTACAGTCAAGAGAGGAGAGGATCAGAAAAGAGGCCTGTGAAGGGCGACATGGGCAGGGGTTCAAATACTCAGAACTTGACCTAAAAAAGGTACAGATGGACTAGTTCCGTTCTTCCCCAAATCCTAATCTTATCAGGAGGGGCGTAGGCCCAGAGCAGAGTTCCCACTTTGCTAAGTTTAAAGACAGTGCTACTCTCTGATCAACACTAACATGGAGGTATTTCCAGGATCCCATCCCTAGTCCTCTTCTGACTCTACACTCCAAGCTCCCTCATGTATTGGCATGGCTTCATGACTATCTCTCTTCCAGTCTAAACCATTTCATGGGCTCCAGTTATCTACTAGATACTTTCTTACCTTTACTTCTTTATGAAATGAAATGGGGTATGTAATAAGATGTACACATCTATTCCAGGATATCTGTGGCATACCATTAAGTAATCCAGTAAGTCAACAAATATTAACTGAGTGTGTGTGTGTGTGTGTGTGTGTGTACCATTACAACCTAAGCAACCATTAAGACCGAACGACCGGAACAACCAGTTGACCAGTGGTTATGACACACACTGGCCACCAGGGGGCAGACTGCCAACCGATCCCCGTCCTTCCCCCCTGGCCGGCAAACCTCCTGTGGTCCCTCCCCCCAACCCTCCCCCCGTCTGGCAGGCCCTGGCTAGCAGCCAGCAGGCCCCGGCCAGCCCAGCCCCGATCAGGACTGGGCAAGATGGCTCCGATAGGCTCTGATTGCCAGCCAGGCCTAGGGACCCCAACCATGCACGAATTTCATGCACCGGGCTTCTAGTCTATTATATGTTAGCACAGTGTTGGGTGCTAGAGATACAGCAATGAATAAAGCAAAAGTCCTTGTCCTTATGAATCTTAAATTCCAGTGGGGAGAGATGAAAATAAACAAAATAGCCCAGTCAGTGTGGCTCAGTGGTTGAGTGTCAACCCATGAACCAGGAGGCTGAAGTTCAATTCCAAGTCAGGGCATAGGTCCCAGTTGCAGGCTCAATCCCCAGTAGGGGGTGTGCAGGAGGCAGCAGATCAATGATTCTCTCTCATCATTGATGTTTCTATCGCTCTCTCCCTCCCCCTTCCTCTCTGAAAGCAATAATATACATATATATATATATATACACACACACATATATAAAATAAGAATAAACAAAATATGAATAGCACATATGTAGATGGTGATGAAAGCTAAGGAGACAAATGAACCAAAGGGAGAAAATATTTGGCAGGGAAGAGGATTGCAATTTCAAATTGAATGGTCAGAGAAAGATTCACTAAAGAACTGACATGACTAAAGACCCAAAAGGAGTAAGCTATGACTGGGGAAAGAGCCTTCTTCAAAGGAAAGATGAACTTCAAGATCTGCAACAGAGAGTACACCTGACTAGTTCAAGGATCAGCAAGGAGGCCAATATGGCTAGAGTGAAGTGAGCAAAAGGGAGAAAGAACAGAAGATGATGACAGAAAGTAAGGGCCATAAAGGCCTTCTGTAAGGACTCTGACTTTTACTCCAGAAGGATGACCTGATTATTATAAGGATTATTCAGATGCTGGGTTAAGAACAGGCAAGGGGCAAGGGCAGAAGCAGGGAGATCAGTTAGAAAGCTACTATAATAATTGGGTAAGAAATGAGTGGCTAGGACAAGTGGTAGGGTTTGGAGAGAATAAAAAGTGGTCAACTTTTAGATATATTTTGAAAGTAAAGTGGAAAGATTTGCTAGCAAATGGGATGTGGGTTGTGAAAGAGTGAAGAATGAATCTAAAGATGCATCACAGCACCAATAAATGGTATGGAGAAAAGTGTGGGAGAAGAATATATCCCAAACTAAACTCTTTTTTTTTTTCTTGGCTACCTTCCCAAAAATATTACCTCTCCTATTGTGCTTAGCTCAGTAAGTTACCCCAACACTCACACAAGTTGCCTACAAAACAGAGATCCATGACTCCTTTCTCCATCAATACCATCATACTCTTACTCTTGACCCCTTCTCTATAATCTCATATCTTCTGCCCTAGTTGAGGTCCTCTTTATCACTTCTCTATATTGCTGTAAGAGCCTCAGAATTTGTCTCTTAGCCCCTAATCTTGCCCCCTTCCAGTCCATCTACTGCAATATCAGGGTAGTCTGAGATAGAATAATGTCAGGCCCCTCTCAAGTCTTCAGTAGTTCCTCAACACCTGAAAGATGAAATCCCAACCTCTTTGCAAATTTTGACAAGCAAGAAGTCTAGGTCTATTTTCAGAAGTTATGAAATGTTCATTCTGATATGTTCAGGTATGTAAATCATGTATCGAATCCACGCTCACTTGTCCAGCCTCACCTTCCTTTACTTCATCTAACTTCATACCACAGTTGCTTGTAGTTTCCTATATTCTTCTCTCCTGTCTTGAACATGTCTCCCCTGCTAACCACTGGGCCAATTCCTGTCTTACAGGTCTCAGTTCTAATGCAACTTCATCCCCTCAGAGCTCAATTATAATTTTCTATAATTCTCTTCCCCCAATCACATTACAGGCAGTCCTCGGGTTACATCGGACTCGACATACATCGTTTTGTGGTTACATCGCCATCTCCCATTTATTTACAAAAAAAAAAAAAAAAAAAGTTCGGTCATTTTGACATATGTACATATGTGCTTTATGTTTTTTATTATTTATTTACCACAAGTAAAGGTCAGGAGTTGATATCTTTCTTTTAAATTTTTTTAATGTTTCACTTCATTTCTGCTGTGTATGCGCTCCATGTGAGTGACGTAGGTGCTTATGTAGGTGGGTTCCGACTTACGGCGAAAATCGAGTTACGTCGCGCCGTAGGAACAGATCTCCAACGTAACCCGAGGACCTACTATATATACCTCCCTGACTCAAAACATCTGGAAAATAATAGCCTCCAGCAGATCATTCACTTGCCAAGTCCTATCAACCATACCAGGCCAAACATCTATGTCTTCCCTTCAGTGTTCTTTAAAACCCTGCTCCTTTTTAACTCCTTAATCTACTCCCTACCAAATTCCCAAAGCACCAAGTTTTAAAAATCAGTGTATCCAGGTTTTTCAGATCTGTGGTTTTACTACCTAAATTAGTGTCTTTCATAGAGTAGGTACACAGTCAAGATGTGATGAGTGTAAGAATAAGCAAACATGCTCCAATCAGACAAGTATCTCCACTGTTCATTGTACACACCACCATGCTCATTCACATCCCCATCCCTCTCCTGTCACCAGGAATGTCCTCTTCATTTATTCAAATTCCACTTGTCCTCCAAGGACAGTTTTTTCTCCTACAATGACATCACCTCTTTCCTATCTCTTACTATACCAGTTCTTCCAATAATATTTATTGAATACTTACCATATGCTAAGCAGCACTATGTCAGAAACACAAAAAATGAAGTAAAAACTCAGCCTTTAAACAGTTTAGAGTCTAGTAAGGAGAAACACAGAGAATTACAGTGTCAATGCCATAAAGGAAACTACAAAGTACAGTGGGGACATAAGAAAGGAACACCCAAGTTGGCTTTGGAGGGTTCTAGAGAGACTTCAGAAAGGAGCCACCATTAGCTCTAGAA